ATTATTATTATTATTATTATCATTATTATTATTATTATTTTTAGTAAAACCCAAATGAGTCTTATTTTTTTCTTATCTCTTTCTCAGTTTTGTGAATATGTTTCTTTGGGCCAAAAGTTTATATACGAAAAGAATGACTAGAAGTTTTTTGAGTAAGATATTTCGGACGATATCCATCGTCCATCATCAGTTTAATGACTCACTATAAGTGTATTACAGTGAAATACTATAAAGCCTTAGGGACTAATACGTATTAAAATGAAGTACTGTAAACCCTAGGGACTAATACGTATTACAATGAAGTAATGTAAAACCCTAGGGACTAATATGCAGTTTTGCTTGTAGTGCGATTATTTTTTCTTTTCTTTTTGTGTTTTGTGTCTTTACATCAAATTCTATTAATAAAGGCATTAATTATAACTTACATAACTCTAATTGTCTTATCTCAAGTCTCCGCGTCTGGCATTCTTCGTTTGCAATAGACGTCATAGCCGCCATGTTGGAAGAATTTGACAAAAGATTTTTCAATGAATTCTTTTGTTATATCTTCCAACATGGCGGACATCCCTTTTGTTATTGTGCTCTCTTGGGATTGATTGCAAACCAAGAATTTTCTTGACTATAGAACTTCCCGTTTACCTAAGTATTAAACGCGAACCAACAATCCTAATCTAGAACATTCAATTCGTTTCCGCTTCAGTGTCTCCGACGACCCTCAAGAACCTTGTAGAACAGCAAACCAAATCGCATGAAGCCATTCAGGTATTTAGTTACAACTCTAATAACTCTTTCCTATTCATGGTCAATAATGTTTTCATTACAAGAACATGCTAGCATACGGATTTGTGGGCTATACATTCACTCGTTATCTAACAGCAGGTTAACTATCTTTGTTCATCCGTATAACTATGAAACTCAAAATGCACTGTAATATCTCAGTGGCTTCCAAAAGAAACGCTTCCAAAGATTTCATGAACCTTAACGAGTTTTTCAAAAAAAATAGTTTAATTTATCTTGATTCATGCATTTCATATAAATTCGTATGGCATTTTGTCTAAATATGACAGTCACGCTTGAAGTATAATTAGTAGGGTTTATAGTTCGAGACTTTTCAATGACGTTGGCTGTCCAAATAAGGACGAGTATGTGTTTTGATGGATCAAAAAGTTAAGGTTAATGTGTCGAATACTGTATACTTGACTCGTTCAGACGGCTTTGTGAAGAGAACCTGAAGAGTATTGGAATGCATATCGTAGATTTGTAAGTTGGTATTCTTTTTAGGAACGTATTGAAAGTTCAAATTTTGCATAGAATGGCCAATTTTGCTACTTCATCGAAAGTTGATCTTGGAAAACGAAAGGAAAACTGCGGTGAAGCCAAGTGTTTTTTAAGATTGCATAACCACAGTGCCCCAAGGATTTCTTACTCGGTGCATGATTTTTCTAAAATTGCATTTTGCGCATTTTCTGATTTATTGCTCAGCCTATACTATCAGTTGTTCCTAGTCTATATTTTTCCTTTAATTTACGGCTTTCGAGTTTGATGCCTGTTGATGTTAGATTAGCTTGTATTGATTTGATTGTTTGTTTATCTTAGGCTCTCCAGGCAAAACTCCAAGCCGTCAACTACCAACCTCTCACGCCAAAACCGAACAAGGTATTTCAAAAATATACACACGTTGTTAGATTAACAAGAAGTCGCGTAATCATGAGCGCTGGAAAGAACGAATTTTGAATGAATATGAGAAACTCCCGACATATACGTACCGTATCTGTGACGGTCGTGTGCACAAGCAGTGACAATGCAGTGGTAGTGCGTGTGGAGTAAACCTTAATGAAGACGGTCCCGCCAGGGATTGGGGGTTGTAAAATATACCTTTAATTTCATGAGTATTTTTACTTGCTGAGTAATTGCTTGTGCACTGCGATTGTTGAAGAATGTGTCAATTTCGTACCGTGACGTTGTGCTGTGTGTCATGTCGTTACACATGTGTTCCATACAGCTTAGCCGCCTTGCTTTGCAGTGCTCGGTCCTATGTTCACACTCAGACCATAACTTCTTCAAAGCGTCATTCATATATTTATTTTTTCTTATCAAAGAACTTATCTTCTATTTTGCACTCTTTAGCCTTCCGATATAACAATTTCTGTGCATGCGCATGCGAATGTTCCGATAACCTTCGTCCGGCAAATGCCTCTCCTTATCTCTGGCATACAACACTATGCTTGTACACTTTATAAGTAAACAAATTAAAACTAAATCGAAAGGGGCCTTGTCCAGGATATGACTGAATGAGTGGGTCAGATTAGAATCTCAGCGTGACATGATGTCCAACTGAAACAAACCTGCTAAGATAAACAAGCTATTCTTTCCAGTTTAAACAAAGCCCTCGTTTGTCTTTTAGCTCTGGATGTTTACATTAGAAGACACGTTCCTGATTTCTAGATTTATTCAAGTGCGAATGTAGTTTTTTGAATATTTTTGGGACATGTGCATGTCAATTTTAGAATAGTGTCAATTCTTTATGGAGATCGGTCGCTTTGCTTTTTGTTTTTCTTCCTCTAAATTCACTTAGATATTTAGAACAAGAAGCCAAATAGAACCGAATTTGAAAATCCGCTTAATGACTTAACGTATAGGTTATAAAGTAAGACGGAAGGTTCCCATGTTGGATGACAGTACATGATCGTTTCTTTCCAGCCATCCAACATGGCTGCCTGTTGGTAACTTCGTTTCTCGATTCCTCCATTATAGCTGCATTCAAGCGATTCATCGTTAATGTCATCCAACATAGCTTGTTTCTCATCCAACATGGCTGCCGTCAACTGAATAATTATTTCTCTTTCATCCAACGTGTCTGACTTCAATTGATCCATTGTTTCTGTCATCCAACATGGCTACTCTAATATTCCGAGTCTGAATGTGTAATAACAATAACTCGGACACAATATGAAAAGAATGAAGAATGAAACCTTCATTGATAAATAAATAAAGCCAGGGTAGTCCCTTCAGAACTAATAAAAGGTCTGCTATCAATGGGAGCCCTGGCATAAAATACAAGTACAAATACATGGAAATATTGGTTCCAATAAAAGCGTCATTAGATGCAATTAAATCATTTTATACTRTAAACGGCTTAGTAAATCCATTACCACACTATATATAGTAAGACTTTAAGTGCTTGCCTTCAAAAAAGGATTAATGACCAAAGCAGTCTAGTAACGCCTGCATCAAGACACTTGAACTATTCTCACTTCAAGTCAAAACTGCATCGAACCGAAAAACTAAATACTTTTGGAAAACGGCTTTAAATTTCTCGTTTATGCTGTACGGATAACAGGATTAACCAAACTTCGAGAAAAATAGCAATAGCTGAGGAGGAATCGCAAAACATGGTCACAAATCAACACAATATGGATATTACTTCGACTTCGTAAGTCAAAAATTGCATTCCCTAATAAATCATATTCTTAGAATCGATATAATTTTTCCTATAGTTTAAATGCTAGTTATACTGATGATGTGTAAACTTATGTACTTTTAGAATGGCTGATTTACTAGTACAATAACTATACATACTGTTTTTGCAATTTTTTATTGATTTCAAATCAACACATTTTCTCACGAAGCACAAACCGAATGACGTATGTTCACAATCGGATCACCTCAGCATGAAATATGAAATAAAAAATAATCCCTAAATCAATATCAGGCATTAGTTCCCCCGTAGAATAGTCCCCAATGTGGTTAAGTCTTTAGATATTTTAACAAAATGCCTAGTTTTTGAATAAGGAAAGTTTTGGCAGGTTTTTAGGTCAACAAGTGGATCAAGGTATTTCGGATTTTGTTTTTCGATTGGTTTTTAGCGTGAGAATGGTTCCACTAGGTCAGGTACTCAATCGAGCATAAATAGATTGAATATAAAATCTTTATTATTTCAGACCACATTATTGTGGATCTAGTAATTAACTTCGCAAAGAAAATGAGTATAAAAACAACTCGGTTTGTTTCATAACAATTGCAACCTCCTCCTCTACGCGGAAACAACCGTCATACTCTTAAAGTGATAGTTCCTATATCTTGCACGTTTATCGGCCTTTCAACTGCTCATTTCCAAGTGAATATTTCTGGGTAGCAAAAGTTTCTCAAACACGAATACATTCTTGGTGAGTTGGTAGAACATTTGTCACGTACGTACTCGTGAAACATTACTTTACTTAATTACTTTACTTGAAATGCTATATATCCTAAGTGCGCTGTTAATTACATGAGAATACCTTATAACCTTTTTTGGCGATGGAATTTATTCTGATAAACGAGGCGCGTTAATTTGATATTATTTTGATGGGATTTTATTCAGATTTGATCATTCAACTGTAATCGTTGCCATTGTATACACTCAATTAAAGAATCGTTGTCGGGTTCAGAAACATAGAACATCAAAGCTGAGACCGAAATGGCACATGGGAAATGACATAATTATATTATAATTTATTCATTTGCGCCATCCATGCAGCCGGTTTAGAATGCCAAACGCGTATTAAAAACAGTGGATGATGCCACGGGTCGCCGGTCACAGCATGCTTCTAATTAACGTACTTCCTATGTGCCATTTCGGTCTCAGCTTCTATATTCTATGCTTCTGAACCCGACAACGATTCTTCAATTGAGTGTATAAGAGTACAAAACTCGAATAAGAGTTAGCAAGAAGAATTTTAATTTACAGTTGAAAGAGAGAGGAAAAGGTGTAGACCTTTTTACTGATACGGCGGCCATCTTGAATTATGGGATGCAAAGGGGACAAAACGTAGTAAATTTATAAAAAACACATTGAAAAACTTGAGCAACTATTGTTGTGGACTGACAACAACTTGAATAACTATTTTGGTGGATTGACTAGCCTCGTGTTTGCATAACAAACATTAAAGCGTTTTCACATGTAAGAGAGGCTAGCCAGTCGAGAACAATAATTATTTAAAATTGGTGGCCATATTTCGATTTGGGTTAAATTTAAAATTTGCAGTATGTTAATAGAGAGTTTTAGATAGACGTTCACGGCAAACGTGTAACGTCAGTTGATCAGTCAAAAATYCTTTTAACTGAAAAGGAATCGCAAAAAAATCCAAGTAGTAGAAAAACAAAAAAATATTTTTTGGTGATATGAAAGATATGAAAGAGGTAAAGTAAAATACAGGAAAACGATGAAAACGTGGTCACGTTTGCCGTTTGCGGGAAGAAAAAACGTCAATCTAAAACTCTCTAATGATTGTGACGTCACTGGATGCAAATACTTAGTTYACTATTTCATTTGCCGTGCTGTTCAGCCTTAACGGGTCACAAATCCAACGCTAATACAAAAAATGTTTTCGTCTGGAGCCAGGAGTATTCTAAGAATTTACTGCTTGAATAGTAATGATGCTACCGTGAAAGACTGGGTCTAGCTAGCTGCCCACCTGTCGTAGACTGGCCAGACTGCCAAGCATGACAGAATGATAAGAGTTAAAATATAGATGTCAAGAATGGTCTATTATAGATAACCTCTTATCGTTAAAAGAGAGGTTTTCAAGAGTTTTTTATTGTTGTGGGGGCGGGTGAAATTTGTCATCCGTTGAAATTATATAGAGACATAGTTAATATGCATCTTCATGCTCTAGAAGAATCTAGTATCATTTGGTGAAGAGTCTGTCTATGCAAGACTACCCAATTCATGCCAACTGACGCTGCTACATGATTGATGAATTAAAGTAATAGAATCGCTCTACTAAGGGTTTTTTGTCTAAGGTTTTATTTCTCTTTTGCAGCATCCATTACCAAGGGCTGGGAATCAAGAAATGCCTCCCGTATTTGGTTTGAGCTGTCAGAGCAAAGTGATGTCGAGTGATGACACATCTAGAAGGATTGATTGCAACGAGAATGAACTGAATTCTAGTGTAGTAAACAGTGGAAAAAGCGACGATAATATTAAGTCTATCTACGGTACTGTTGATAAGCATATTCTGGAATCAATGTTAGATACTGTTCAAGGATATATGCTACAAAGCGGCCCACAAAATAAATCGTGGTTAAACGGCGAGGAAGCCAAAGCAACAGACTCGTTAACAGAGAAACAGGATTCAAATTCTTCGCCTTCAGTTTCTTCCAAGACCGAAGAATCCTCAGAAACGTCCATGCCCGTGCAGGTCAATGGTTCTGATGTTGCTCAACTCGAGAAACAGGAAACCAAAGACAAATATAAGGCATCTGAATCAATGGAAAATGGCCACGAAGTTGACGTCATCGATTCCGAAGTCGACGAAGCAAAGCCTTCACACGCTGATAAACGCTTAAACAGTCTGGCTGGAGGCGAAGTACAGCAAGAAAGCACCAAGGAAATAGCGAATCAGTCGACTCCAAAATCTGAAAAACAAGTAACTTTTTCTGGACTTGACGCTGTATTTGCTCTACCTAAAGACTCGAGTTCACCGAACGAGTTGAGTAGGACCGAGTTTCCTTGTACGACTGGTTGTGCAGCTGAAGTTGTCGATGATATGGGAAATGTTTTAGATTTAGTTGAGATTAAAAAGGCTGGCTTCGACTATCCTATTTCCTCAAAAGAAACTGTAACATGGGCTTCTTGTGGGGAAGGACTAAATGACAATGACGAAGCTAACGAATCGACTGGGTCAATAAGTTTTGATGATGAAAATGATCAGTTCATGATGTACTTGAACTCAATCGAGCAAACGGCTCTGAAGTTTAAACTCCAAGTTGAGCAAGCAAAAATTGATACCTTACAGATACTGAAAAGGAGACTTGAACAGGCTTATGAAGGAACACCTCTTGAGGAAATTCCCGCCAAAGTCCATGAGAAACTCCAAGAAACAATTGCTCAAATAGCGACAGAAGAAGTCAAGAAATACGAATCGGTTCTCCACGTGGATGCACAAGATGAATTTGACGACGACGAATGTGGGATTCTTAAGCAAATGAGAGCAGAATTAGACGCTCTTGCTGCGGAAAACTTCACACTCAGTCAAGAATTAGAAGCGTGCAAACGCTACGAGCAGGAATACCATACGTTACAAGGAAAAATCGAAGGAATGGAAGACGGCTTGACAACAATGAAGCACGATTACGCCACGAAAAATGGAGAAAGTGAGTTCTTGGGAAAGAGGATAGAAGTGTTGGAACAAGAAATGGTGTCAATGCGCGTTGAATATGAAGAACAAATTCGAGAACTACAAAATGAAAACCTTGAGTTGCAAAAAGAGTGTCTGGAACTTGACGACGAAAATCGTACACTTGAGGACGAGTTGAAGAAAATCCAAGTTAGTTTGACAGAAAAAACATATGAAGCTGATATTTACGAAAGTCGACTTGACGATAACCTAGCGGAAAAAATTACAGCAGCTGAGCTGGAGGCTTTAGAAATACGAGTCAATGAACTAGAAAGACACAACAAAGCGATGAAAGCCAGCAGCGAGGCTGATCATGCTGTTGTAATATGCTTAGAAAAGAAGGTTGAAGACCTGGAAAGTAGTTTGTTGGAAGCAAAAACCGCGAACAGCAATCTACTGACGGAGCTACACGAATCGCAGCGACAACAAGCAACGGATCGTGCTAAGTTAAGTAGCTACAAAGACGAACTCGAGGCGCTGAGACGCGAAAACAAAGTTCTGAAATGCAGTCTTGAAAGCTCTGAAAATGAAGTTCAGTATCAGAGGAGGAAAAATGAGCAATCAAGGACACCAGTTACAAAGACTCGTTCGCCAGGGAGTCTGGGTAATAAGAGAGAAATATGGAACGAAATAAGAGAATTGGAAACGATATTAAAAGATGTACAAAAAGAGAAAAAGACAATTGAAAGAAAATATCAAGCTTTTCGAAAAGATAGTTGTGATCCGAACGCCTCAACGAATTCCTCCAACGCCTCAATATTAGAAAACAGTCAATCCACGAACCCAGGCTCTCCGAACAGTACCTTGAGAAGAACGCCTGACACAACACCAAGATCTAGAAAGACGACCTCACTATTGGACAGAGTGAATAATCTGTTAGATAAGTCGAGTCTTCCTAATGGTACAAGAACTGACGGGATAACCAGCACGCATGCCAATCGCGTGAGTGCAACTCTGAGTCGAGATGCTGGTAGTAGCCCGAGTAATGAGGTGTTAACTAGCCGATCTAGTGCGTCACTTGGTAGAACCCCAGTGAATAATGGATTGTCTGAAGAGGTAAACTAGTCTGTGTACGTTACTTTAACCATTCCGAGAATTGAGGGGAAAGACTGGGTGGAATTGGCAAGCAGTGCGTGGGACTGTTTTAGGGCCGAGACGGAATAAACGCCATGTTGTAAACTTGTCCCTTAAAATAGTCCCTCTGAGGGCGACCCAGTTTTTTGGTCAACTTTGGAATGGCACATATATTTATACTTAACCTATACTTTTTTTTGTTTTCTCGTTTTTCGTTTTTTTAATTTTGAATTGCCTTTATTTTATTTGGCTTGAACTGCGTTTTACCGTGACTTATTGGTGTTTGGATACAGTTGTAGTGATTTATTTGGTAATTATAAAGTATCATATCCATGATCATTTATCAACATTAGCGTGATTACAGGGTCATTATCAGACACATTGGACAGTTTCAGGGGGAAATTAATTACATTTTAATTAATTAACTGTTAATTAATTAATTTTTTTCCCGACATTTTAGATTTTCTTCTGCGATTAAAATCTGTATTTTTTAGCTTTTGGTTTTGGTTTGTTTGTTTTTGTTTTGTTTTGTTTTGTTTTTTTACCTTTTTTTGTAAATTCACGTCACGTTTTCATCGCAAAAAAATATCATAAGCTTTAATAATTTGAACCTCGGTTTAATTTTTTAAATAKTTTTCTTTTTTTTTAGCTGATGTCTCTTCGTAAACACGTTGGTAGCCTAGAAGCAGAGAAGGCTTCAATCATTCGTGAGCTGAATACCATAAGAACACCAACCAAAGACGAGAACAGCCCGCAATCATGAGCGTCTTGGAATACGTCTGCTTTAAGAACACTGCTTTCTCTAGACCAGCAAATCATTGGTCAGCAGTGAATGAATAAGACAAGTCACTGAAATGATTTTACCAAACAAAATGGACGTTTTGTATATCGAAAATTGGAGATTTCGTACTAGATGCTCTCTTATAATGGAAAATTAGAGAGGAAACGTCATCTAAGAACAATACTTTTCTATTGTGGAAAGACATTTTTCTATCAGAAATATTTTTATATCGAGATTTCAGGATTTATCACAAATTTAAAGAAGCATGCTCTAGCTAGTAATATTGACTATAGAAGCAAGTACTTAATATAAAAGTCTATGAGTTGTCACAAGTATTAGTACACTGAATTGAAATATGGCGACCAATTTAAATAACTATTGTTCTGCACTGAGTAGCGACTGACTAGCCTCTCATACAAGTGAAAACGCTTTGATGTTTTCAAGTGAACACGAGACTAGTCAGTCGCTGTCAGTGCCGAACAATAGTTATTTAAATTGGTCGCCATATTTTGATTTGACGTATAGCGCTCAAGTTAAGGAGTAAAAGAACATTTCTTGTTATGATTTAAAAGGAAAACGTGCAAAAACGCACACATTTGCGTTAGAAGTTACTCGAAATATGCTCGACTGAATTATATGTAAGGAGCCGCCATCTTGCATTCACCGGAAGTGCGGCTTCACCAAAATATCCTTAAGTATTACTATATATGGCTATTTGAATGAACTATATAGTTTAAAATAACGATGCAAAATATGTATTAATTATTAGAGATGCATTAATTCATTTATATGCAAACATATTTAACAGTGTATCAGACTAGGAAGTCTAATATATTTACCAGTTTCCAGACTATTCTACATGTGACGTCATAGCCGCCATGTTGGATGACATGAACACAAGATTTGATCTTAGTTTCTTTGTCATGTCAACCAACAAGGCAGCCATGTCTTTTGTCCTTTTATTCTCATGAGAATAGATAAACGTCAAATGAAGACTCTTGAGGCCATTTTTTTAAAATTTCATTTGGCGAACATGTGACGTTATAGCCGCCATGTTGGATGAGTTAAACATAAGATTTGCTTTTGGTTTCTTTGTCATTTCAACCAAAATGACGACCATAATTTTTATCGTGTTATTCTCATGAGAAGGGATGTGCGTTAAGCCGATAATCCGACGTAGTTTTCCCATTTTGAACCTCTGAGGAATCAGTCTGTTAGACTGCGTTTGACGCCCTGTGGTCAAGAGTAATTACTGGGTTGCCTGTGGAAGCCAATTACACCTTATTTATAATGGAGTTATTTTAATTCCTCAAAGAGAGTCATTCTGTCATTGTCGTCTTTACTCCAAAGAGGAAGTCAAGTGAACCCCATAAGGGAGTTATTTCAACTCTCACATAAATAGTTGTTATTACTCTCCACAGGGAGTCATATTTACTCTAAATATAGTGAAGTTATTTTTACTCCAAAAAGGGAGTCATTCTGTCATCGTTGTTTCAACTCCATTTTTGGAGTAAAATTGACTCCCAAAAATGTACTGTAAAATGCCTTTGGTTTTTTTTTTGTCTTCTCCATCGCGCGAAAAGTGCATTCTTGCGCAAGAGTACCCATATATGGATTTGAATGACGTGTTCATAGATTAATGGCTCATACGCTGCCTTAGCAGCTGGGGCTGTAACTCCAGGCATTTCTAGAATTTTAATTCACATATTTATTAGTATTATTACAGTCAATCAGTCGGCAGAATTCTGGCTTCAATCGCGGGGGTTTATAGTAGAGCCGAACGTAAAGTATATAATTAGAAAAATGAAAACACCCTTTTTAAAACGGTCTCAAAAACAATTGTCGATTTCAAAGAGAAAGAAGCTAACTTTAATTTGGAAAATAATTTTGTTACACTACCTGAAACACTACCTAAGACATATTGAACTTCATCTTAAATGCACAAATACAAGGGCGGATCCAGGGGGATGGTCGGGGGGGTCGCGACCCCCCTGTCATTCCTGAGGTCAAATGGGCTTCTTGTGGTAAAAATGCGACTGGGATTCCTTTGCCCACAAAATTTACCCCTGAGACCCCCCTTCAAAAAAACCCTGGATCCGCCCTTGAAATARATAAAGGGTGGAATGATAGGAATTTTTGAGTTAAGTACCCATATATCTTTCGATAAAGATGTTCATATCAGTTAAATATAGTTAATGACATCCGTCGTGAAATGGATGGGCACCTTTATGTTATTTTACACTGAAAATGAAGCAAGCTTTGATTGGTAAAATATTTTTTGATTTGATGGATGCGTCTCTAAGTTATGAAAGTTTTAAGCCCCGTCCACACTTATCCGGAAGTTTTCGTATCCTTATTTTTATTTTTATTTTTTTTTCGGATACGGGTTTCGTCCACACGTGTCCTCAAATTTTTGTGACCGTATCCGCAAATTCTACGAAAACGGACACGTGTGGACGGTGAAAACGATTCGAATACGCTGCGTGTGGACGCAAACATTTTCCGGTATCGGCAAAAAAATTTTTGCGGATACAAAAATTTCCGGATACGTGTGRATGGGGCCTTATACTTCCAACATATTAATGATGGTGACGTCAGGTAAGGTATTTTATTGTTTTTGTTGTAACTAGCATGAATACCAAATGCTGGCCATTTTGAAAATACAAATTTAAATTAGCTTTCATGTAAACCATGAGTAAAATAATGATGCTTTTTAAATACTGTATCTATGAACCAGTTCAATTTTGTATATTTAATTAAGCCTTAATAGACGTTACACTTATTAGCATATTGGAAGTATAAACCTTCATGTCTTAGAGACGCATCACTCAAATCAAGAAATATTTTACCATTCAACTATTTACTTCGTGTAGAATCAGTACTGCAAGTATTGTCGAAGGTTTCATTTGCACTTTAAGTAAATAAGTAGTTCGGTATTTTCTTTCGTAAAACATAACTTGCTTCGTTACTTGACGCAAACACCGAACACGACAAACGATCAATATTGACAAGCAAGATATTTCGTCAGAAATAACGTAAAAGTTTCAAAAAATCTCCAAGGATAATTCTAATTATGGACACGGCTAACTTATCAAGATGACAAGATGGCGGTAGGACGTGCTGTACTTAGATGCGTCCTCATATACCTTATTCCCTTCACTATCTTACACAATTATGGATGGAAACGAAACCTTTACTTATTTGATAGCTGTATCTACAGGTTTTCAGAAGGAATTACTAAGCAGAGTTCTGATAGCGATGGTTTTTGCTGTCAAATGTCCATGTGTGAACTTCACAATAGACGCCATTTTGAGCTCCTACGAGCGCCTTCTCGGAAATATTATGGACGTCGAATAAGTAGATACCCGAACAGCCAATCTACATTCCAGCTCATTCGACTGTTAATAAGTTGGGATATAAACTTGAATCCTGGCCCAAGTTCCGTAAAACCAAAGTGCAATATCTGCTCTAGAACCATCGCCCGAAATCATCGGTCGCTCGACTGCAATTCATRTAGAGGTAAATCTCACATCAAGTGTGGTAAAGTTACACCGAAACTATTCAAACAGTTGCAAAGAAATGACCCGATGATATGGTCATGTCCCGAATGCATTAGTAAGCCTACTGTAGGATGTGATGTGGATTTGTCAGCCCTTCCTTTTACCTCCGTGTCGGATTTGTCATCCTTCACCGATGAACAAGCTGCTCAAGCCGATGCCACCCAGTATGATCAAGAAAGTCAGCAAGATCTATCAGATCTGGTAAAACAACTAGAAGCCAGCTCAAACAAGGATTTAAGAGTAGCACACTTAAATATATGTAGTCTGAGGAATAAGATCGAGGAGCTTAAATGTTTACAACTTCTGTGCAGATTTGAAGTGATAGCGATCACCGAAACTCATCTTGACAAATCTGTCCCCGATACAGCGATAGATATTCC